GATGGGGAGAATTCAAGAATGCACGGTAAAATATTGGCTCCATTTATTAATTCAGTATAAATTTTGCCTCAGCTAGCGTATCTGTTTTCATGAAAATCTAGCCATACCTGTGCATTTCAACGTGGTGAAAAATTTAACTAGCCTTGAAATCATGATGTAGCTAAAGGCATTTACATTCTACACTTGCGGCGGCACACCTATGCCCAAGTCGCAAGCAACGGTGTGGAGCAGGCGAGCGAAGGCTTTCCCTCTGCTCCGTTTCCACCACAGCACGTCAGCGGGGAAGCAGAGGCAGTTTGGAACAGGATTCAATCACCCTGCAAGCCTTCACCCTGGCAGCCTCCGACGGAAGAGCTACTCCCAGAAATCTTTCCTTCATCACTCTCCTAAATTCCCTGCCTCTTCATCTCGTAACAATGAACCCAGATCTTTGGCCACCATTTTATGTTATTACATTTTTTAAACAGTCTGTAAAAATAGAACTCCCTGATTTCTGCCTCCCTCCTCATACTGACAACCGGTTTGAAAGGCTAAAATCTTTAGTCACTTCAGCTTCATTTGTCCTTCTGCTACAGATGTTTCTGATGTCCCCCTCTCAGCTCAGCTTTTTCTTCGTGTTATTACTGTTTCTTTTTTTTCTGTCTACCTTTTTATCCTCTTCACTATCAAGCATTCTTAGAAAAGATTATGTTAAAAATGGCAAGCTGATTAAAATGCATTAGTAGTAAATAAAGGGAAGACATCTAACTGAAAACAGTAAAAGCAAGGATAGCATCTTTCAGTGTTCAGCTGATTGCAATATCATCTTTGAACTTTGCATTGCTTGAAGTGGTCTCACTTCAAGGCCAGGTTGGACAGGGCTCTGAGCAACCTGATCTAGTTACCGGTGTCCCTGCTCACTGCAGGGGGGTTGGACTAGATGACCTCTAGGGGTCCCTTCCAACCCAGAACATTCTATGATTCTATGATTCACTGGGAGGTAATTCATATGGACTATGGAGCTATTGCATCAACATAACATTCTAGCACAGTATTTCTGCCAGTATTCACTACATCCACATCAACAGCATGCAGCTTCAGAGGTCAAGATAATTCTTAAAGAAGCACAGAGAATACACTACTAAAAATGCAGTTTGAAAAAATACCCAACATTAGAACAAAGTTCCTATCTTTATTTTGTATTATTACAAAACAGAGAAGAAAACACCAAAACTGGGAATATTTTAAAGGCCACATGAACTTACAGTTTGGTTAGAAACAAATGTGTTGGTTTTTTTAATTTAAAAAACTAACATGTATTCAGTTTTACAGGCTTGTAATACTGAAAAAACTCCACTCTCTGGCACAGCATTAGCTCCTATATGTATGTACTCAAGAAGAAACTAATGTAAGCCCTGCACATTTTTTCTTTCTATAATTTACAATATTCAAATTCAACAACTGCTTCTGACTTTCATTATATCTAAGCAATCTCACACAGTTTTACTTGGTGGCCAAACTTGGCCCATAAATGTGATTTTCCCGCTGACAATACATGAATCAAAAACACAAAGTCTGCTTTGCACGTTTGCGCACTAGTTTTTAAGGACAAACAGAAAAGCATTTTTAAACTCATCAGCTGAGCAAGCTTGATACAGGGTTGAGAGGAAAGAAATCTGTAACAATTTTATGATGTTTTTCACACTAAAACAACACTTAACACATAATGATGTCATCTTGGCTCCACCAAAGTCAGCAACGAAGCTGCCATCAACTACTGTGAAGCCAGGACTGCAAACTTCAATCTTCCTAGATATAGCAGATAAGTGAATGCCAGATCTCCGAGACTTGCTTTACCTGCAAAAGTGCAAGTCGTCGTGCTCAGTCTTCAAACTCTATTTGATGGGTTGCACACAGAGTTCCAGCAGACCTTTGCAACACAGAAAATACGTAAAGCTTCTGATGCAACCTCAGGAAGGAGCTCAGCCCTCTGTTCAAGATGGTTGCTTTAAGATAACTTTGACCTGACACTGACAGGACTATAAACCTTAAGGAAGGAGCAGGGTCATGCACATGTTTTAAACAACAAGTAATTTTTTTTCCATTATTATTATATAAAAATAGGGTTTCTGTATAGCTAGTGGAGAGTGGAAGACAAAGAAGCATGTGCACACATAAGCCTTTCTCCTCTGTCTTAAGAAACCAGGTAAGGTACAAGATTAATTTCAAAGTCACTTGATGAATCCAAAGTAATTAAAACACGTTTTAAACCAAAGACTGCAAATATTGTAGCCATGCTTTTGATTATCATAGTTTAAACTCTGGTAAATGCCTCGCAGAACAGATTTGAGGCACAGTATATACTCAGAAGACTATACAGGTTAAAACATGGTGTAACAAAAGCATGCATAAATATATGAACGAAGCAGCTGCTAGGACACGGTGAGATAAAAAGAAATAAAGTCTGCTGACAAAGTAAAAGCAATGTAAAATTAACACAAGTAGGTCAACATTTAATTTGATCAAATGTGGCTCATCATGAACACTGTCCTGCTTCTGTCATTGGTCTGATGCCTAAGACTATTAAAAAAAAAAAAAAACAAAAACCCAACCATCAATGCTTCCATATGAGTATCCAAATTTCCAATAGTCCATGACTTGGCAACTTTCCAATATTCACAGACGATGTATTTCTATTGACTAGTCTTCAATGAATTCTTTCACTCTTTTTTAAATCCAGGTTTACTTTTACTTTACCAGGGTATAACAGACACAAAAACAAGCTAGGTTGTGGTTGTTTGAATGCATTAATAAAACAGAGTCTTAGCAGACCAACTAAACAAAGTTGCATCCCTACCCTGGAGATGTAGTTTTGTTAGATCCCCACTAAGTGACTTGCTACCTCCACAGCATCCCAAATAGTCCCCTCATGGACTAGAGCAGTTTCAACTCATTACATGTCACACCACCAGTTTATGCAGGCAGGGTGAGAGGAAAACTAGTCTACCCACCAAGGAACAACAGAGATAAGAAAATCCAATTTTTTTTGTGCTTCTCTTTTTTTAATCTAAGAATGAGAGTAATAGCAGAAAAACAGAGCACTGATTAGAAACCACATGTATTATAACCAGAACAGAAAGCACAGTTTGATGTAATCATTCAAAAAATATACCGAAATACCCATCATCCCCACCAGGAAATACTGTAAAGAAAGTGGGGGAAAATAAATAATTACTTGTTCCCTCCAAATGCAAATTTTTATTTAAAGAAACAATTTACAACTTGCAGCAGAAAACAAATTGGATACAACAAGCAATATTATTTAATAGCAAGATATTAATGGTGCATATCATATTTTACTATAGATTTCCTGGGAGAATGGAAATAGTTGAGCTTTATCACACACCGTAATTATTAAAGGTGTATTTGGAGCCTCATATGCATTAAATAGCACAGTAAAAACACATTTTCAGAGACATTTTCACACATACAATTTTAAAATTTGGAATTTTTTTCCCACTTTTTGGAGCCCTTTTCTTTCTTTATTCATAGAGTATGTCCATGACTCTTACTTTTGGACATATTAACATTCTTTAAACAGTAAAACAAACAAAATTGTCAGCATAGGGAACCAGTCATCACACCATCCCCCTGCTGTTCATCTCAGTATGTTCCTGAGACTTCTGAAACGTCAGAAAGCATTTGGCCAAGTAATAATTAAAAAAAAAAAATAATAATAATATTAAGGCAGGTTTTAGAAGGACACAAAAGGTTGCATGATAAAGACATGGAAAATCAGCCCAGAGCAGACCCTGACAAATATTCCAAAATTCAGCTTTAGCATACTGAACAGTTTTAACTGCACTTATTTCCATGGGGGAAGGGGGAGAAAAGAAAGTTATGTATAGGTAGGGTTTGGTGAGGTGACAGTCAAATCCCTTAAATACAGGAATAGGGAGACAAAAAAAGCAAATAAAAACAAACACAACCCTCCCTCCCCCTAGTAATAAATAAACACACACACACTCTAAAAATTAATCTTTTCAGCTAAGAGAAATTTTACATGGACATGAGATGTGGAAAAAAAATCACTGCACTATAAGGTCTATTAAAGTAAGAATCAAATGCAGTTCCTTATATACTTTTTTTTTTGATGCCTGACTTGAAATCTCCCTCTTCGTTTTCAAAATCCTGATGTTACTTCTTTTGCATAAAACTATGTGATCTAAAATAACAAGCATGGGGGTGGAAAGCCAGGACCTTTGTATTGTAACCTCAGCCAGATCACCTATTTACTGAACACCCATAAGCAAAAATACTAACTTTAGTTGTCCTTAAAACAGGGACGAAAAATATTGTCAGAGAGAATGTACACATAACAGCAACATGAGATTTAACCTTTGAATATAGCCTGATATTGCGATGAAGAAGGTGGAAACTGGAAAGCTACAGGTCTGCACTCCCACCGCCTGCAGTCAGTGATAGGAACTGGACTCTGACGTGGAAGGCAAGGGAAGGAAGAGAACTTGAGACAGTATTTTTCTTCTCCTAATTTGTTAAAGAAGTGTCAAAACTAAATAGTCTGTGTTCAGAAATAACTCCACTGATAACTGTAACTCACAGAGGGGATAGTCTAGACTGCTGCAGATATTAAGGCATGTATGAAATCATCCTTTTTTCCCTCCTCCTTTTTCAAGTTAACGTTGTAAGAACCATGCTCAGAGGTGAATCCAAATTCTTCAGATTCATACACAATATCTGTTTGGAGTTACTCTTTTTTGCGGGTTAGGGATGGAGGGAAAGAAGATGGTGGCGGGACTTTCAAAAATTAATTTATTTTACCTGTAGTGTTTCATGTATCTAAATTAACCTCGTGGAGAAAAGGTTATGTTTAAAGTCTTAAATTAAGCATCTGTTGAGGCCATAATTAATTATCTTATTTGATGATTTCTTGAAATAGAGACCGTAGACTTAACAAATAAGATCTGGAGGAAACATGCAGTCCTCCTTGGCTTGCGTACCTGTGTCACTTCCAGATCCAGTTGATAAAGCTGGCATGGTTTAGTCTGCAGAGTATCACGCAGGAATGTCAGACTAGCACTCTGCAGCCAGAAGGCAGAAGTTAATTTCAGTTTAACTGCTTGCAGCCAAGTTGTCTACGAAGATTTATGCTATCTCCCAGTTTCTCCTAGAAAGAACAGAAACAGAATTTTATAATTAAGAACATTGGTAAATTGTAAATTACTGCAGCTCACCAAATCCAATCATTATCACAAAATAAGTTTTTGATTTAAGACTCTCAAAACAAAGTGCTTTGCATTTAGTTATGATGGTTAACATTTTTTTCCCCCAGGTGAAACAAGTTTTGTTTTCTTCAGTCTAGCCTATAATCCCATTCTGCTGTAAAAATAATGTAACACATTTTTCTCATGTAAATTATACTCTTTAGCGTATCAGGTATTTTGGAAATAAAGTCTAGGGTTGTTTTATGAAAACAGTGAATAATTGAAGTCACTTAAATTTTGCTACTACTTATCCCAGAAAAAGAAAATTGTTTACTAGCATGGCAATTTATTCAGTATTTCTACTTAACCTCCTTTCAATTGTTTTCAGTTCATTTAAGATCTGACATGCAATTTTTATTTGAAATCTGGAAATATAATCTAAATTTTAACTGCAGTTGTAAAAAGCAGGACTGGGGCAAACACTTCTCTAAGGTAAACAGTGGTTTGATTCGTGGAGTTGATGGAGCCATTATCATGCAGACCATGTGAGGAGTTTTTCTGTAATTCATTACTACAAAGTCAGTATTTTTTTAAGACATATTTTTTAATACTTGTACAGGCCTACTTATACTAAATTTGGGGTCTTTCTTTTAACCAGTTCTTGAGGAAAATTCAGAGCAAATGTAACAAAAGGAAAAACCAATTTAAAATAAAAGTGAATGCATTTAAATTCAGGTATGTTAAAATATGAAACTGGAGCACAAACTTGGGAAAAGAAATTCAGAGTTAAGACTGGAAATGTTTACTAATAGCAGGGCAGGGGCTGATGTGTGAGAAGGGAGAGGGGGAAGTAACAGAAAACAAGGGTTTTCTCCAGATTTCAGTAAACAAAAAGGATCCTTGAAGGAAGAAAGCAGCATAGTTCTACTTTAGCATAAGAAAATAAACAAATAGAAGAGCATTTTGCTGCTGCTGGTTTGTTTTTTGTTGGTTTTTTTTTTTTTTTTAAACACATTCATATTAATCAGAATCATGACTTTTGAAGTCATCTTGGCTCTGAAAGTGCATATTTTGGACACATTTGTACTTGGCAAGAGTCTTGGGGAAGAGTAATATACAGGTGCTATAAACACTGTATGCTGTTCAAAAGCTTGGTTTTCACCAAAAAAAAAAAAAATCCCTACACTGCTAACAGTATTGCAACATATTAAAGGCCATCCACAAGACTTTGTTTATAAGTTTTAAATCAATTATTAGATATAAGCTAGTTGTTAACTCATCCCTAGGCATAAGCCTATAGTTTAAATAGTCTGGCAACTTTTTTAAGTTCTTTTTTTTTCTCCCCTACGAATTCACCTGAAGAAAGATTTTGCATGTCAGCTTTCAAACTCCAGTGAATCTCAGGGTTTTTTAAGAAGGCAAATACAGCAGAAATTACAGCCCTGGATAACTTCTATGATGAAAAGGACTGAATAAACTTAAAAACCTGTCTATTAAAATTGTTTCAGTTTGGGGTTTTTTTTTTATTTATAAAAGTTTGTGGTGAATTAAAAAAAAAAAGGGAAATTTTCACTAAAAAAGCATTTGCTTCCAAAAAAATATTTTGACATTCATCAAATCAGCACAAAGTCCATTAACTTAAAATTTAAAACAGAGAAGAGAGATAAGGAACTTAAGTATTTCAGAGTGAAAGCTCATCTTATAATGACGGAGTTGTAAAACATCTATATGCAAAGCTAGCCAGGGTGCAGTTTAAAAAAAAAGACAAACCAAAAAACCCCGTATCGTAGCCAAGGACACGCTGTACCAATTAGGGAACATATTCACTTTGCATTAATTCTGCTTGTTTTCTGTTTAACACATACAAGCTCCATAAAGCAGAAGTCATGTTCTAAGCTCACTTACAGTCCCCAGCGTGAGCACACCACTACAGCCGTATGAAGGACGGAGGCATTTTTAGTTTTCACACGTGAAAGAAACTGGTTAAACCAGGATGATTTACTATTAATGGGACACCTTTGATTTATATGCAGCTTAAAGAGCTTTCATCTATTAAAAAAAAAAAAAAACAACCCAACCCAAAACCAAACCCACCCCCACACATGCAAGGCATTCTCATTATAGGTGCATTATTAGCAATCAGAAATTCAGGTTCCTTAAAAAGAGTCCACTGTGAAACGTGGAAAGTCTTGTTGATCTACCTACATGTCATGTATTTAAACTTGCTCAGTTTCTTTATTTTTCTTTATTTCACGGTAAATCATTCAATATTAAAAAAATTCAAGCTCCTTATTATTTAAGAAACTTATATATGGCATAAAGTAATTCCCCCCAGATCCTAAATACATATTAATGAAAAATAAATGACCTGATGAAATCCTTACCAGTAAAATGCTTAATATTTTGCTGGAATGGAAGGGGGATTTTTCCCCCCACCCCCTCCCTAACTTGCAAATTAAGCTACATTTTTGCAGTGATGATGTTATTTTCTTTGGCTCGCTTTATTTAAAATGCTTTGGAAGTTTTTGCCGGAGCCCAGCCATAGGCATCGCTGACTGCTGTATGGAATCGATTTGCTGCAACACAGGAATACCAGCTGTTACAGTATGTCCTGAGAGGGATTACCGAATATTCTTAAATTGAAGTTCAATCCATCTTTCCATAAAAACGAGAAGCCCACGCCAGGAACGTAACGGCAGTATCAAGTGCACCTGAGGCATTTACAATACCCGGCAGGACCGTTACAACCAGCCTTTAAAAAGGGCTTATTTTTGAAATTTCATTATTCCAGTTGTACCTTGCTTCTATACCTCGCACCGGATCGGGTTCTGCTGGCGCCCGCCGCGTGGAAAGAGCGGGGCCGCAAGAGGCGCGGCGATGTTCCCCTGCCTTTCGGTAACTCGCAAGCGCGCTCACCTCGCCAGACGCAGTTCCACTGCGCCTCACCGCCAGGTTCGTTGAGGTGACATAACTTATCGGGGTGCCAAATCCCCTGGTTATAAGTTGCCAGGAGTGGGGCAGAAGCCTCCGGGGAACAACTTCCAAAACCGCAAAATCCGAGAATTACAGCTCTCCAAGGGAACCGTTTTTCCGCATATCCCACAAATAAGAGAGGCCCCTCACCAAGGGATGAGGGGGATAAATCTTGCTCCCTCCCTCCCCAATCACCCACGCTCTCAGTACAGGCCTAGTAACACCGGAGAGGGACAGCCAGATGAAACGAGAGGGTGGGAGGCAGTCAAAGAGTGCCCAGATGAACAGCCTTCCACATAATTTTAGCTTTTGTAGCTTCTTTCTAGCATCCTCTATTGCTTTTGCATGGAAGTGGCTCCATTAGTCACGCACACATTTTATTTTTGTCAAGTTCATTTTTCTACAAAATATGAGGTAGGAAAACTAATTCAAATTTGTCTTTATGGCAAGCATTGTGCATTTGGAGATGGCACGCATGATGTCTTGGTTCTACCTTTGACTCCCCGTCCAAACCTCAATAAACTGCACAATATTTATTTCTGAAAGGTTATTTTACAAGTTACTTAATATTTTTAGCACTTTAATGAATATAAATTGATTTTCTTCTCATTTGAAAAGCGGGCTGAAGACTTTTGCCTCATTTAAAACAGGTAAAAACATAAAAAGTATGAACCTAGTGGTGGGAGGGATGATGGACATAAAACCAGGTTGTTTGATACAAGAAGCACTCAACCAGTTTTTCTAAAGGATGCTACAGTTATGAAGACTATAATCTCGATTTCCAGAACCAAACCAGCATGCCTGCAAATGGTATTTGAACTATCAGATAGAGATTTCATGCGGAGACAGGAAATTTGACAGCCATTCAGCCTTGTCTTCATCACCAGGCCTCAGGTAATTGAATGACTAGGGACACGTATACCAGTCTCCAAAGCCCAGTCAGCACAGGAAATTGCCAATGGAGGTTTTCTAGACTGGAAGAAGTAAATCTGTTTTGGTAGACAAAATCTGAATTGAAAATGGTGGTCTACTCTCTTGGAAGTTGTAATGTAATGAGATCTATTGAAACCTTAATCTCTTCTGAGGAAGTTTCCACCTCCTCAATCACAGGGTCTCCGACAGGCTGCTGGAACCTGCTGGCAGCTCCTAATGGGCTTCCAAAGCTGGTCAGCCACCCTTGGAGGTGGTACATGTACATTGTCAACAGGAACCCACAAAAAATCTTGGACGGGAATTACTGCATAGAGGACACAGCGCCCAAACGCAATGGGACTTCAAAGGCACTGCAGAAGCAAGAAGCTGCCCGACTCACTCAACTGTGGGTATAATGGAAATGAAGAGAGTGGAAAAAACTCTGGGTTTAGGGTCCAATACAAAATTAGGAATATCTATGGCAACTACCAAATGTTAGAGAACACGTACTGTCCCAGACTGAAGAGGACAACAGCTGCCTTGACTGACTTTCTCCTGGTCTTGCCATCATATCAAACTTCATCCATCAGAAGCATTTAAGGCTTCTGCATAATATTTTTGTGTATAACATTCTATCAGGGCTCTCCATTTTGTTTAGTTTACGTGTACCTTTAGCTTACACCACAGGGATGCTAGAAACAAACGCACCTTATTAAAAGGCTTTGAGAATAAAAGCTGATAATTTAGACCTGCTTAAGCATCCACTGAGAATGTAAAACTGCTTGACTTTTGATTAATACATTTGTGGGGACATCTTTAATAAATACTTAGTTTGGAAGAACCATACCACTGAACTCACCATATCTTGTAGCGTGCCTTGTACTTGTGTGGCTGAAATTTAACTGCAAAGCCCCAAAGCCTCAGAAAAGACGTCTCTGGTTTCTACTTATGGGAAAATTTTTTACAAATGGAAGAAAAAATATGATCTAAGTGATAAAACCTACAACTACTATTAAAAAAAAAAGTATTGAAGAAGTCATATACTGAAAAACATTGAGACATTAAGATAGATCCCGGT